TATTACGATGTTCATATAGAATGTGAAAATCAGCCGGAACTTTCCAAACAAATAGGAAGCTTGTATAATATAAGGTATTGATTTTATCTTTGTGTATTATTATGAGGATATTAAGTTTATGAATTTAAGTTTTGTTTTTCAAATTATCTATCTTTTTCATATTTACCTTATTCTAGATAATAAATATTTTTTTTTACAAAATAAATGTTTGTACTATTTAAGGTATTGATTTATTGAGGGATACATATGTTATTTTAGAGTAATATAATTCTTTTAAAGGTATCTATTCTTCATGTCCACGTAATTCTTGCTTATTTTCGATAGTACATATTTAAATAGTGGAGATTTATCTAAAAAATTTAAAATTATTTTAACTCAAATGATTGAAATGAGTTTCAAAATTATCCTATACTTTTTTGCAATTTTCTATATTATTTTCAAGTAAAACGTACGAACTCGACGCAATTGTGTGATTCATGTGATTAATCATGTATTTTATTACTCTTACATATGTTCAAAAAATTATAAAAAGGCTTCTCAACAATGTTGCATTATATGTTTTAAAAAAATCATCTTAATAGGTGTCACATGCAATTGTTTTTCTTACATGGTTGTGACTATTATCTTTATTGTATTTTAAGGAGGGGGTAATCATTTTGAGTGAAAAATGTACAAAAATCGAAATCCCTTGCAATTTATTAAATAATCACGGAGTATACAATGCTTAAATCCAGGGCAAAATACAAAATTGATCGCTTTGTCAAAAATAATTATATTTACTAGCCAAATAGTATATAGAATATATATACTGTATATATAATTCACATATATACCAAAAAAATATTTATCTGCTATTATTTTTAGAAGCGATTAAAAATATATACTTCTCTAAAATCTTTAATCGGGGATTTTATTTGTCATAACATTTGTATAATTAATATTTTATTGCTTTGAGTACGGTGAAGTAACGATGATTATTTTATCTTGTAAATAATTTATTACTAAATTTAATTAGTTGTTCTTTTATATCAAAGCTATGCCTAAAGATTTACGTGTAACGCGCGTACATAGTAACTAGTACTATATTAAAAATACGAAAGTCTTTAGCGAAATGTCGTCCGACTTTTTTACCCTCTTAGAATAGAGTTCACATTGGATAAAATAATTATTTGATTATTTACCTTATTTATTTAGGATCTTATAATCACCTAAAGTTTTGTATATTGAATCCTTCCTTATTTAAAATACTACTATATAAGAAATCCAAATATTTAAGACTTTTAAAGCAATTAAAATTATAGCTAATACAATTCCTTTCCAAACATGAACTGCGTAACATGTCGACATAAAAATGTAAAGTTTACATGGAAACTTTACGTCATTAATATGGTAGTAAAACTAGAGCATCTTTTATGAGCTATATTTTAAAATTCAAGTTTATGTTACATTCAATTAGATAATATGCATGACATTTTTTATTTTGTTTAGTATTTAAATGATTGGTTCATAGGTAAAATACTAGCACTTCGGTCCAAACTAGAATATATTGAACTTTCTAATAAGTCTATTCATTCATATACTAACATTATTTTACAAATTGAAACTAGATAAAAAGGGAAAATCAGATTTATATGATGATAAAACCAAACAAAAAGCACGATTAAGTTGTATTTAAAATAAACACCACAAAAATTATATAGTGTTGGATTTAGTCTCAAATTCTTTTGAATCGCAATACCTTGAAAGTTACATATACCAATCTCAAGCTACTTTAAGAAATAAAAAAACTAATGAAAACACATACATCTTGTTCGGAAATTTATTTGATATTTCACTAAATGTTGCGCATTAGATCCTTTCCTTATTTTAATTATGCGATATAATAATTTTATAAAATAAAAGTAATACCAAAAATGAAAATTTTCACAGAGAATAAGTTAAAACATAACTATTACTTGATGTAGAATATTCGTTGTATAAAATTATAATAAATTAGTTCTATATAATTTAATTATCTTTAAATAAAAAATGAAAGAAAAATATTAATTGGTAGGAAGCTATAACTAAATTAGATAGTGTCGATCTGCTCTCCTTCGATTTTTTTTATTCTTAATTACAAATATATAATAGGTGGTAAAATAAAAACCAATTAGTTTATATAATTTAATTATCTTAGTAAAAATAGAAAACAGAGGAAAACATTGTGAAAATTTATGTTTAATTATCCGGGTATAAAATAGTATGTCATTAGCCTTTAATCAAAGATTCATACTATAAATTTATGTACCAAAATATAAAATATTATAATAAATTCTATAATTAAATATAAATTATTTAAATATTTACAATTAATATACTCTTTAATCAACATCCAATTCTAAAAATACTTTTTAAATGACACTTAACAATTGCACTTTAGCATACAAAATTTAATAATATTTATATAACTTTTTTTAAAGTTATAAACTTCTTAATATGTGGAACACGCGCAAAGCGCGTAGGAATAAATTCTTTAGTCTTTTAGATTGTTTTAAATGTGTCATGTATTTCAAAGTTATTATAAATTTTTTATTGGCATGATGACATAATCCTATTAATTTATGATCCACGCTTTAATTATTGATTTAAACTCCATGATGCTTAGTATTTTTATGTTTATCTATAACTTTATTCATATATTTGATATTTTTTTAATATTGTTATCATGCCAATTTTGGTTGTATAAACTTCTTGAGATGAGAATAAGCCGGCGAATCAAAGAAGGGAATAAAATATGATTGAAATGATGAGAATAACTCTAAATTTTTTAGATGACTAGATTCATTTTCTATTCAAAAGCTTTAATTTTACATATTATTTTCTAAATATTTCTCCTTTGAAATTACAACAATTAAAAATATAATACAAGGTTAGTATATATGAAAATTATCACAAATATATCAATGCTAAGTTGATAAGAAAAAAAAATACAAAATCGGGATGAAGCACTTTTAGCCAAACACATTGTTCTTGCACATATATTTACTTGACGCGAGGCATACGTGCAATGCACGTACACTAAACTAGCACTGTAAAAGAAATAAGGAAGATACAAGTATAATGATAGTGTAAACAATTTTTACTGTCATCAAATCTAAGTGAAATGAATTGTACATCAAGTTAAGAGTCAGCTAGGCAACAGTATGCACAGCGGTTCGATTTGTGATCTTTGCCAGAGGCAAACCTACCTTTGGGTAGGGGGGTCGTCGTCCCCCAGTAACTTCGGCAGCCTGGTGCACTAAACTCATGCGCGAGGTTCTGGAAAGGGTCGGACCACGAAGGTCTATTGTTTGCAGCCTTACCATGCATCCGTTTCAATTTATGTGAATCTGTTTGATCGGGCACAAAGCTTAACAAAAAAGATAAGACTTTTGAGATATAGAATGAGGCATATATATTTTGTGTGATTATAAATTTGCATAAAGGTAAATTGTTTCCAAATATATAAATGAGTTATTCTTTTTGGTACGGACTAAAAAGGAAATAGGTTCATGTAAATTGAAACCGAGGGAGTATGTATTTTGATTGTTATCCTAATATTCAAATCTTAGGCAGCTGAATTGGTCGATTTAGAGCACAACTTGAATTTAAGTACGATTCTGGTTCCAGTATTTGCTCAAACTTTTATTTGACATTGGTGACCTCGCCACTTTCAAATCCTTGGTCCGCCTCTGCTCTTTGCTGCTAGGAAGTCGCCTTAGAGACCATCCTTTTTCTTTTAATGCCACAAAATTGACTGGTTAAACTAACCATAATGATGGTTTAATGTAATTATCATCACCCTGATGACTAGATTATGTTAGAATAAACCATTCAAATACTATCCTCTGGTCGTGTTAACCATTTGGAAATGTAATGAAAGGGAAGTGTTGCCTCCAAATTCAGAGGCAACAGTTGCTGCTACCTCTTAACCTAACTAGCATAATGTTAGAAAGAAGGAAGTATATGGATGTATTAAACAATCTGTAAGACATGCACATATATTTTTCTAAGTCTGAGTAAATTTGTTCTCACCCAAACAAATCGTCTTTTAACTCAGTCTTGTTACTGTAACCTCGTATACCCAGTGAGTATTGAATTTAACTGTTAAAGTATTATTGTTGAGGCAATTCAATAACAATATATTAAGACAAGACATGCATGCTCATCTTGAGCATACATTTCTGAGTCCTTGAAAAGGAAAATTACAGCAAAGAAATAAAAAAAAAATACGAGGTATCCTGTTCATGTTACCAAAAGCCACTTACCACAGACAGATCATACAAAAGGATTATACAAGTATGAATCCTAACCTTCCAGTGCCATCCAACAATCTTTGACTTATGGAGTGGCAGAGCTTAGAGACTCCAGATGATCACTTGAAGCACTGTCATTGCAAACACACACACACACACACAAAAACAAAAACAAGGAAATGGTGAAAAAATTGATGCCACATTAAACATCAACTATATTTATGTATTTGTTGATCAACGGTCCCTTTCTGGACCTCTTAATTACCTAATTAGCATAATGTTTTCTTCTTTTCTACAAGTAAAGAAAAAATTTAATTTTATGAAAATAACTGGCCGAGCACGAAGACCATGCCGGTGACTGTGAGCACAAAAACTATGTAAAGATCAGGCTACTCCCGAACGGAAAGTCTATCAGAGAAACAGACTTTTCAGTTTACACCAAAAGGCAAGTGAATTCAAACACTTGTTTTTCAGTCACGGCGGCTTCTGCATTTCCTTCAAAACACCTGCTATTTCTTTCCTTTTGTAATACCCACAGCATACATGCTGGGAATAGGTTCCACTTCTTTGCTTCCTTCTTAAGGTCATTCACTGTCCAAGTCCAGATATATTTTTTCCACTAATTAAATGAAACAAGTCCGTGGACACAGTGTGAATCTTGAAATACTGTTCTTGCAAAATGATTTTCAACCTTAAATTTTCAGCAATATGAATAGAAATCAAACATTTAGAGCAAACTTTCTTACATGATGAACAGAGAATAAACACATTGTCACTCAGACATGAAGAACTATGCCAACTCCTAGGACACTGACAAGTCAATACTAACCTTGTCTATCAGTTACAAAACCAGTTGAAAACAAAACTAACAGTTGTTAAGTATGTTGCAATTGATTCATACAATAGGGGCCAAATCAGTACGAAAAGACAATTGAAGCATGTGGAGAGGATCTTGGAAAGCTTAGGAACTCCTGTTCCATATTAACATAATCCCGAGACACTTCACTCCCTCTGTATCTGGCAGCAATGACGAACTTTTCTAGCACGATTGCATGCTTGAGCAAATATTTCACCAATGGCTGTACAGACCTATTTTCACTTAGTGGTCCATAAAAGTTGATCTTGATGGTCTTCAGATGTAGCAATGAGGAGTTAAAATTATGCGTCTCAAACCTCCTATTTAGTTCATCCTCATTTGGGTACTTCAACAGATGATACTGCAGAAAAGAATCCACATTCTTTAAATGAAAGGGTTAAAGAAAGCCAAGGGTTTGATTGTGGATAAAATGAAAGGGTTACGAAAAACACATCAAGTGCTAATCAAATGTTACAAAGTGCTACACGCAAACAACAAAAAAGTGTTTAAAAGCTTCACTGAAGCATATGGTTTTACTCCTCGATCGCAGGAAGGTAAGTACAATCCCCTTATTAAACATCTTTTTCCTACAACTACAAAAAAGTTGACTGTGGAACTGGCTTTACTCATAGAATCAATCTTGATAGTGACAACATGAAATTTCTGTGAAAGCAACTCATGCTGAACTATTTTCTTGAGGAAAATAAATGAAAGAACAAAAAAGTTCCTTAATGTCTTACACAAAACTAGAAAAATAAGCCCGCTGCTGCTGCAGATTTAGCAAAGAGAAACCATCAACTTCAAGACTAAAAAGCAGATTCTGAAATCCTTGCACATCAGCATTGGAAAGAAATTTCTAGAATATAAACTACGCATTCCCTGGGGAAATTTCTGTGGACATATTGAGAAATTCTCACATCGATGTACAAGCAATACTATAAAATGGTGCAAACCTGATTTAGGATAGGTAAATATAGACAATGATGGCATTCCAGACAAGAACAATGGGGACCAGGTGGCGTAGTAAGGAACTCTTCTGGTGATGGTGATATTATTATGGCAGATGCACCCACCAGGCCATGGAACAAACAATATGATTGAAGCATTTTCATATTTCTAAGGGTTTAAATGGTTTCTTGAACATTGTATTAGAAACATTTGGGAGGAAGCCGACTCTTTACTTATTGTGAATGCTGTCAAGCGAGTTGCAAAACCTTCTTGACACTACAATCTTATGAAAGAGTTGATTCATTAGTCGAGATGACACAATGTTATAGAGAAGCCAATGGTGTGGCTGATTCTATAGCTGGGTACAGTCACCTATTAGACGCAGAGAAGAAATTTTACAGCTTTGACTCACTACCTAGAGAAGCTAGAGTGCATTTAAGGGTTGACAAGTGGAAGCTCCCTTCCTTAAGAATTTGAAAGAAAGCCCAAAGCTTACCTCCAGTAATGCAAAAAGATGAACTTCCCTGTTAGATTTTCTTTGAGCTCACATGTTACTTGACAATACTCCTCTCACTTTTCTCTTTTTCAGTTCTTATGGAAACGATGCACAGGGAGCAAGTCTCCCCAAGTTATAAGCTATTGCATAGCTCATCAAGTACTTAGGTTAGTTATGTTTCACATTGAAAATAGGACTCCACCAATACAGAAACACTCTTTTTTGCTTACACATTATAGGCTTATCTACTACACTTTTGTCAAAGATGAACCTTCGTAATCTTCACGTTACTTGAGGGTTGAAACAGTTTGAATCTTACCTATTCTTTGTAGAGGCAATGCAGTCAAATTCCCTCTTTGTAACCTTTTAGCATTATCTATGAAATATACCACTAAGGTGGCTTTTTAATAAGTATTATGATTTCTTTCCTAGTGTAATGTAAGATCAGAAATATGTTGATATATATCGTCTTCTTCTTCCATTAATAGTTGTTTGATGTTAATAACATGGAATTAGAAAATAAATGTATAAAGGAAGCTTACTCTTCCTTTCTGATTGTACCAGTCAATGACCAATGTCTCAAGATCCAATGAACTCTGTAGAAAGCTGCAAACTCCAGGTAAGTCCAACTGTTCTAAGGCTGCATCAAGTTTTAAGAATTTCCGGCTTGATGGTGGAGACTTCCACCCTTTCAACTCCAGTATGGACAGGCACTTATAAACCAAATAGATAAACCAGAATATGTCAACAGAAAGATAATGCTACATACTTAATAAATGAGATGAAAATTGTTGAATAATTCGTAAAAATAGTTTGGATTATACGACTGCATTTTGCCACATCAAGCTGTTCAAGGTTGGTTTAGAGATCCAAAGATGGACTTTTAAACACTTTGAAAAACCCATTCACATGACTTAAGGAGTATGATCAATGTAAAGCAATCCGAATTTTACATGTTCCTCAGTCCATTGCAAACTCTTTATTCTCAGCGTACATCGTCCAAAATTTTATCCAAAAGATCTGCCACTGTCCAACTAGATTGGCCGTAAGAACATAATTATCTAGTATTTACCAACTAAGTTCTCAGATTATCCTAAATACTGGCACTATTAATGTTACCAAATTTATAAATTTAATAGCAAATAAAAAATCTCAAATCAGGAAAAGAATCTGAAATTGGATAATGAAGAGTATGAGTAAACCTCGATGCACCAGGGACCTAATTCAAGATTCTCGACATGAGCAACGCTGTGAAGAAGTTTCTTCAAACAGCTATATGCCTTCTCCTCCGGTATGACTCCTTCTCCAAATTCGATCTTTAAATCAAGGACTGCAGTGACAAGTGAATCCACATTGCTCTGCCGCAAGCGTATCTCACCGCACACCCCCAGAAGTTGCAAATTTTGAACATTTGGGGCTAATATTTCGAGCCAAGGGACACTTTCCTCATTTTCGCAGTTTTTTATGATTAACTTTCTCAGCTTCAAATTGCTGATTTCCAAAGGATGAATGCCCTCAACATCATCCAATTCCAAGCACTCCAAGTCAGGGCAACCTAATAATACTTTTTCCATGGCATCGTCCTTCAATTCCACATTCCCAAATGAAAGAGAAAGTAGACTACTCCAGTTCACACTACCACTAGGGTTCAATGTGCAGTATTGTATACCCAATTTCTTCAAAGAGGTATTCTTATATGCAATTTGAGGCAATTCATATCCTAAGCAATATTCAAGTTTAAAATCTTCAACATTAGCAATTTTAGTCGCAAAATGTACCCAAAAATCAACATCTTTAGCAAAATCCTCAATGCCGAAACTGAAAATGACCTCGAGTTTTCGGATTTTCCGGCAATACCTCCAATAATGAAGCTCCCTATGGGTAGAAACCACGAAATCAGTAGCCTTCTTTTCGTCATGCCCAGGGAGGACAAAATAGAGTGATACTGGAACTGATTTCCACATAAACTGCCATCGTTTAGATAATACACTCGTTCTCACAACTGCTTTACTTTTCGGCAACATAGAGAGGATGTGGATTAGAATTTCGTCGGGCAAATTACTGAGTCGGTCTCGATCTCCTCTCTTAGAATCAGCCATGGAAATGGAGAAGAAGAGTGAAGCAGAAAAGCAATTTGGGAAATTCCACTGTTACATTAGCAAATAGTGACGTACAGGTTGTTATATACAACTCCACTAACTAACTAACTAACTAACAACCAAACTTTCTAGAATAATAATAAGGGACTCTAACTTCTGTTATTTACAAACTGATCCTCTCGCCATGGTTTTGCTCTGCATTTCGAGTGAGCTTTGTTGTTTGAATTTTGAAGAGTAAAGGGGAAATTTGCCTTATACGATTAAAATATTTATTTTATATTGTTTATCTACTTTATATTTTTTTTTATCTTGTATGCTTTTTGTATTTCATAATGTATCATATTGTATTGTATCGTGTTGCATTGTATTATATTATTTGATGAATATAACATTTGGATAGATTATATCATTTTTTGTCATTTCGTGATATCACGCACCAATAATATGAAGAATAAACTTGCAATATTACTTAGAAAAAATAGGATACGAAGTAGAATTATTACATAAAAAATTAGGATAAAGAATAAAATATAATAATAAGGAAAGGCAAAATGAGAGGAAAAAACAAGGTAACGACGCCACCATACCAAATTCGTCGTTACATAAAGTGACACTTTTTATCGTTAATGATACAATACAATAAATTTAAGTAATAAGCAAAACAAATATTGTATATAAAATAACAATATGATACAATACAATAGGTAACAACCATCCAAACAAAGTATAAATATTTGGTTTGAATACAGTATTCCAAATTAGATTACTGTAATATGTTTGGTTTGAATATTGTATTCTAAATTAGAATGTTGTGGTATGTTTGGTTTGAATACTATATTCTAAATTAGAATATTATGGCATATTTGGCTTGGATGGATTATGTATTCCAAATTAGAACATTGTGGTATGTTTATTTTGAAAATTGTATTTCAAATTAGAATATTATGGTATTTTTGATTTGAAAATTGTATTCTTTATTTAGATTAATATGGAATGTTTGATTTGGATTGTATTCCAAATTAGAATATTGTAGTATATCTCAGAATATGTGGGAAGATTTGGAGGCGTAAAGTGTAATACTTTTGGGATATTTGCAGTGGCGGAGCCACATTGAAGCAAGGGGTGTCACGCGACACTCTTTCGCCGGAAAATTATACTATTTTGCTAGATAATTTTTTTTTAATGTATATTTACTATACATTGACTCCCCTCGACTATTTAACGTATCTAATTATTTATATTTTGATACCCTTTGATGAAAATTCTGAATCCGCCATTGAATATTTGATGTAATTTCAAAACTTAAGTATATGATGAAAGTGAATCTTACGAATGAGTATATTATGAAACTTCCCCTTTATTTTACCACCTGGCCTGTTAGATTCATAGAGTCAAATAATTGGCTGTAATTCTTTCTTTATTATTTTCAGAAAATGATAAAAATAGGGATGATCCCGGCTTTGGGCAGGTCACCTCACCAATGAGTTCCAAACGGAGTCAAAAGTTTCAAACCACCCACTTCTAAGGTTATTTGTGTAGTTTACCCTATTATTTGGCTCAACAATTTTAGTCTAGCCGAGAAATGACAATTAGGCTCATTCCTTTAAGTATAATTAGGGTTTGTTTAGCTCACATATTAATTATGCGGGAATCATAAAGCAGAGATTATTTATATAGTGATTAATAAAGAAAGAATTACGCAATGATTAATAATAGAAAATTATTGTTAGGCGGAGATTAATAATGAAGGGATTATTGTTATACAAGAATTATTACTCTAAAGACACATATTTTGCATTCCACATTTGACCCACGTAAAATAATATATAAATTTTCCCATAACTTAATGTGATATCATTTGATATCTCTAGCCAAATGCTGCATTAGATAATCCGATCAAATTTTTTACACTATGAAATCTCTGATAAATTTTTCTGACGGGGAATTTACGGAATGACACATAAATAACAGTGACGAGTGAGGTGCCATAATCAAGTGCTGAAAATTTGACCTTCCAATCATTTGCATTTCCTGAATAATTCACACCTAGTCAATTATTTTAATGTGACAAAAAACGATTTTGTTACTAATAATGAATAAAATTCAATAAGATTACTTAAAAATTAAACCTAAAGGATGATGAAGTTTAACTTTTATGGACTTGTAAGTATGATGTACAAAAGGGATGACTATCAAAGACTATGCCAATGAGCAGTGGCGAAGCCAAAAGTTTTTTCAAGGGTGATCAAATTTGAAAGAAGTGAAAATTCTTTGACAAAGAGTATTTAATATATGTTATATACTCTAAAACTTAATATTTTACCTATATACACTGTGTAATTTTACGACGAAGAGTGGTCAGTTAGACCCCCCTATAAGACATGTCGCTTCGCAAAGGGCCAAATATACCCCTCTACTTTCGAAAATGGTCTAATAATACCCATCGTTATACTATTGGGTTATCTATACCCCTGCAGTCATACTTTGGGTTCAAATATACCCCTCATTTAAACGGAGGGACACAAGTCATCGTCCTGTTAGTCAATTCTAAATATCTCCTAATTAATTAAAAAGATCCATTACTCATACCCGAAAAATAATATTTTTTAAAAAAAATTGGAAAAAACTGAAATTATTTTTACTAAAAACTGAAAAAAATAATTTTTTCCAGTTTTTACAAAAAAACTGCTTTAGAAAAAACTGAAAAATATTTTCTAGAACAATGTTTTTGTAAAAACTGGAAAAAAAGAGAGCTGAAAATTAATTTTCTAAAGCAATTTTTTTTTGTAAAAATTGAAAAAAACTGAATTTATTTTTTACTAAAAACTGAAAAAAAAACGAAAATATATTTTTTCCAGTTTTTACAAAAAAACTGCTTTAAAAAAAGTTGGAAAATATTTTCTAAAACAATATTTTTGTAAAAACTGAAAACAAAAACTAAAAAGAAATTTTCTAAAGCAATGTTTTTGTAAAAACTGAAAAAACAAATATTTTTTTTTTTCAGTTTTTAATTAAAAATATTTCAGTTTTTTCTAGTTTTTAATTGCTTTTCAGTTTTTTTTTCCAGTTTTTACAAAAATATTATTTTAGAAAATATTTTTCAATATTTTTTAAAGCAGTGTTTTTTTTGTAAAAACTGGAAAAAAAATATTTTTCATTTTTTTCAGTTTTTAGTAAAAATAATATTTAGTTTTTTTCAGTTTTTACAAAAAAAAAATAATTATTTTTTGGGTATGGGTAATGAGTCTTTTTAATTAATTAAGAGATATTTAGAATTGACCAACAGGACGATGACACGTGTCCCTCCGTTTAAATGAGGGGTATATTTGAACCCAAAGTATGACTGCAGGGGTACAGATAACCCAATAGTATAACGAAGGATATTTTTAGACCATTTTCGAAAGTAGAGGGATATATTTGGCCCTTTGCCAAAAACTAGATACAACTAACTCCTGAATGTGAAGTCTATCACAGCAATGGATTTTACAGTTTACACCATAGGCAAGCAAATTCAAACACTTATTTTTCAGTTACGGTTGGCATTTGCTTTTCCTTCAAAAGACTTGCTATTTCTATCCTAATGTAATACCCACAGGCCACAGCATACATGCTGGGAATAGGTTCCACTGCTGTGCTTCCTTCCTAAGGTCTTTCACTGTCCAAGTCCATAAGTATTTATCCACCAATTAATTTTTCATAGTATAAAAACGATCAACTCAGCAATATGAATAATAATAACAAAATATTTAGAGCAAGCTTTCTCGCATGTCGATCAGAAGGGAGCCTTGGTGTAACTGGTAAAGTTGCTGCCATAAAACAACCTCTTGCAGAAATGCAGGGTAAGAATACGTGGGGCCTTTCCCCGAACCCCACGCATAGCAGGAGTTTCGTACACCGGGCTGCCTTTTTTTTTTTCTTTCTCGCATGGCGATCAGAGAATAAACACACTTTTACTTGCACATGAAGAACTATTACAATTCCTTCGATTCTGACTAGTGCAATCCTAACCTTGTCTATCCGCTAAAAACCAGTTTCAAACATAAAGTTACTGCTGTTAAGTATGTTGCGATCAATACAAAGAGGGGCCATAAGAAAAGAGAACCGAAACATGAGGAGAGGATCTCGGAAAACTCAGGAGTTTCTGTTCCATTTTAACATAATTCCGAGACACATGACTCCCTTGCGGCACGGATTTTAATAAAAAGAAAAAGATTTCTAAAACTTTTATTCTTAAAATTTTAACGGGTAAAAATTTTGTGGCATCATGTCATTTGTGTGATTATAATTTTTTTTTTTTTATTAAGGATAAAATGAGTAAATTAAAGTTGAATTATTTTCAAATTTAGAAATGAGTCATTTATTTTGGCAGACTAAAAAGTAAAGTGCCCCATCTAATTTGAAACAGAAAGAGTATTACTTTAAATATTGTATGTTATCGTTAAATTCGTCATTACGAGTAAAATGTCATTTTATGGAACTACCTGTATCCCTACTTTTTTTAATTATTAAATATCATATTTTATACTTTATCTTACCTTTTCATATAATAATAATTTTATTTCGTGCCTTACTTTTTCTTTATAATATTACAAATTTATTCTTCATATTATTGGTGCATGACATCATGAAACGACGACAAATAATACAATATATTCAAATATTATATAAATTAAAATAATACAGTACATTGCATTACAATACGATATATTATTTATGACATTCTTTATATGATGAATATCATTAGGAAACAGACTAGTGTTAAAAAATAGTAGGAAATAAGAGTATGATATGCCCCAACAATTAGATTTACTTAATAAATGGACTATTCCTATAATCCAACCTAAGGTTATATACCAACTAGGTACCTTTGAGAGATTAGGATTAAAACAAGTAGTTAAAGCTACTGAAGAAACGATCACAGTAGATAGTGATCATGCTACATTCAGATTATTATCTCATAATGATTTAGCCCCTTATAGGAAAACTCAAATTTTTTTACATATCGGTTTAATACAAGTTGCCTTCAAACCACTTACTTTAAGAGGCTTATCTGAAAGCTTTATAGCACCTCTAAGAGATGGCAGAAATCAAAACTGGAATAAGTCCCTTATAGGGACAGTACAAACCAGTTTGGCCTATGGCTTTGTCTATTTTAATGTTTATCCTAATTTGCAGATTTCTTTG